GTATTGCAAAGAATTTCACAGTGAAATCTGGAATCCAATTATCCCACTGATGTAAAAAAATATATTACAAAGGTTTTAATCAGAGATTAAATATAAATTGCACTGAATAAGTTCTATATATGAAAAAGATGGTTCAAGGGAATCTATATTTTAATAGACTTAAAGATAACTTAAGTAAAATTTAACTTCTACTTCCATTCTGTTCTTTCCTTTTAACCAAATAATTTCAAATGTAGATGCAATCTCAAAAGTGAAGAAAGATAAATTCCTGCACTGAAATATTTATAATAGAAACCTGAGATGACATACAAATGCAACTATTAACTAAAGAAAAGATGCAGGCTATTTATTTATTCTATCCTTTAATGTCTCAGTATTTCATTGGCTACATTTTTAAGGGAATATTTACCAGAAAGAAATAACAAAAGTGGACAGACTCTTTCTTGAATTTTTTAAAAAATTCTTACCCCCTTGCTTTTGTTTTTTATTCTCCTACACAAAACATAATAGTTCTCTCAAATGTATTATAACTGAGATTGGCCAAGTTGTCTTGTTTTTTTTACTCGTGCTATTTTGCTCTGCACTGTCGAAGGGAATAGCCAAGTGGGTGAAGCGTGGTGCCAGTATGAAAACCACTGCTGCCTTCAATCCCAGAACCTCACCTTGACCTGGGGCTGGCTCATCACCATACTCTGCAGGAGTAGCTTATAGCAGTCAGTAAACAGAAACTTACTGCATTTGTACAGTGAGTAATGGCATATTCTTGTTTTTAATATAGTGTGTCAGGACAGTGAAGGCATACGAAATTGTTTCCCTGGTTGTTTGGTCCACTTTAACATTTCTCAAGTGTTTTTATTAAATGATCAGTAAGAGAATGTGCTCCTGACAATTCAGGGCATTTCAGCATGACTGACTCTTCAGTATCAAGTTTTGATTATTGTCACAGCTACTTAGTTCATCACTGCCCTCAGTGCCTTTGTAATCATCACTTTCCAGGCCTGAGGGTAGAATCAGACTCTCAGAAGAGGCCCTGGGCTGTAATCCCCTGGTACTAACCAGAATTATCTCAGTAAATTTAACTTAACTTCCTACTATGCAGCTCTATTTTATCCTGAAGCAGTGACAACAGTGCCTGTTTGTAATCAACAGAATTAATTAAAGCCAAGTCTGATTTATTTAGAATTTAAACCATTGAGACAAAGTACAACACTTACTTACGTATTTAGATGACTTGACTTGAGGCTTACCTTGCCCTGTAGTTGGTTCACTAAGGTACAGGCAATAAAAAATAATTAATACATTTCTTGGTCCATTGTAAGTTGTTACAATGTACCTCAGTAAGACAGATGATATATCTGATGGAGCTGTTGTACAATATTGAAGGTAAAATGTTGTAGCAAAGTATCCTTGGGATATTTAGTATGTCTCCGTGTGCATCACAGCTAATTTCTATCTAAAATGCAAACCCCGTGGTTCCTTCAGTGGCCTAGACTCAAACTTAGTGAAGTGTGCTGCTTAAGTTGTTTAATTAACAAGAGAAAAGAGTTGTTGAAATTATCAAAGAAATACAGTAGGGTTTTGGGAGGGAAGAGGACTCCAGCTTTCTGCCTCAGGTGGCCAAGATATATAGAGATGTACATACAAGATTGCTATACAAGTACCTGCCAGAATATCTCGTGTCTTTTTGTGATCACATGAAATTCAAAGAGCGATTAGGGGAATACCTATGTAAACTGAATTAGACAAACGATCTCCTGGGTTTTTTTCACTACAGTGGCTTGCCAGGTGTAGCATATAGTCTTGCACTGCATGACCTTCAATTAAACATGCAGTCATCTGTCCCTTAGAGAGTTCGATTCTGACACATACTCCTGTTGCCTTCCTGAAACCTGACATTTGCCTACAAGGCATTCAAGGCAGAGTTCAGAACCAAATGGCTGAGTTTCCAAGCTTTCCATGGAGAACTTTTTATAACCTTGACTGCCTGTTTTCGTAAAAATGGAAGTGGTTTGCTCATCAAGTAAATTCATCAGGTTTACACGGTGTTCCTTTTTGAACTGAGTTTGCATTTCCTTGGGGGGGGAAAAAAGTGTTAACTGTAAGAAAAGGATCTCTAATCTCAGCACTTCTGTAACTCCTGATTAACCTCAAAAAGATTCACTCATGTTTTTTTTTAAAAACACAAAACCTAAGATTGAGATTCTTTTTCTTTTATCAGAAGAGATTTTATCATTATAAGCCTCTGAATGCTGTCAGATAACCCTTTTTGTTGTCTTGACAAAGAGCTAACTCTTAATTGTGGTAAATGAGGTAAGAAAGTACTTGTAACTGTAGCTGGGGGTCTTCTTGCCCTTTGGAAGAGAAAAATCGGAGCAGTCTTAGAGAAGGAAGATTACCTTCTGCTAATTCCAGATTTGGACATTGAGCCCGTATGAGTAAAGCTGATACTCTGTGTACACTAAGAATATATGTGTTCTCGTGAAGGTTAATATTAACACTTTGACTGTTATCTAAATATGCTTCCAAGATTTGAATCCCTCAAATTAACAACAAACAACAAGCTAAATTTGGCAAGAAATTTAAGACAATATAAATATCCATGCACTGACCACCAAAACAGCTGAGCCTGTTTTAACTTTGAAAATGGTAATGAGTCCTAATTTATCATTGGTGCTTAAGCAGAACCTTAGTTGAAGTCACTGAGGCATTCTGCTTAATTGCCAAAGGCATATGGCAAAGTATGACTAAAATTATTTTGCTCCAGTGCTAATGAGTTTAGAAATTCAGGAACAACTATTGAAAAAATAGTGAATACAAATGCTTAATAATGAGCAAGGGTATGATGTCATTTCAAATACTGTAATAAAGAGTATGCCTTTCAAGAGAAGCAAAAGTCAAGTGGTCAGCATGCCATTTGTTGAATGAAATTATGCTGGTGAGCACTGTAGAAAATAAGTTTTTCAGTAAACCTGTTAATCCATTTGAAATTTACTTCCTTTGTGATAAAGATGAGTTATTGACAGGTTGATACAGATAACGTCTCTCTAAGCAGTCCAAACACTGCAGTTCATATTTGTGAAAACTAATCATCATTTCCGTTTTTATATCCAATTTACTTCTGGTTTAATACTGAAAGACAAAGCAATATTACTGTACAATTCTTTATATTTTCATAGTTTTGCAAGTAAATTAAGCCCTGTAACAAATCCCGGTGAGATAGAAGTAAATGTCGTTATCCCCTCTGGATACTTAGAAAGTCATAAGATATGTAGAATGATTTGCTGAAGGCCATGCAATGAGTCAGTGTTATATCCAATATTACAGATTAAGATCATTGCTCTGAGCAACTGCAGAGCGCTGCTTGGACCAGGAGATCGATACATGCTGAACTGTGTGCTATTTTTAGTGGAGAGTTCACTCTTCCTTCATTTTCTCCCTCCTTGCCGTGTACACCATCCTCCATATGCTATACTATACTATTAGACCAATAATACATTCACATATGTCCTTAGAAGCTTTTTTTCCCATTCTAGTACAAGTGGGAAGGAATTACACTGAATAGTTTTCTTGTTTTAATCTGCAAAAAACCTTGTCCTTATCATATAGTATGTATGGCTTACTCATGTCCTTCTTGAAGACTTTGAAAGGTGTTTTTCCCATGATGTGATCCATTAACCAAGAACATAATTATTAACAAATTTTATGTTGCAATATTAAAAAAGAAAAAAGAGCTGCTTCTAGAAAACACTTATGTGCAATATGCTAGGAAATTAATGACCTAGTAAATAATTCAGTCACCAAGTAAGGGAATACATAAGAATGCATCCCAATCATTACAGATAACTATTAATAGGGCTTTTTTCTTTGGTTATATTTCCTTGTTGGTGAAAATAAGCTGATTCTTGATTTTCCATTTGCTGAACTTTAAGAAGTGCCTTTTCCCTCTGTGTTAATTTCCTTTTATCCCATCTTTCAATTATATATTGTATAAACATCCAGTAATCTTATATAAAGAAAACTCTAAAGATATTTTCCCCAAAATAAACTATAGTATTTCCCTAATGAAACCACGAAACTTATTTTTTGTCAAACTAATTAATTTTGGAACAAAGAAAGAAACCGGAACATCCAATGTGAAATGCAGCTGTTGAACTACTTTCAATTTACCAAGTCTTCTTTTAGAAAACTAAGATGCTGTATTTTAAGAAAAAAAAAAAAAAAAGGAAAAGAATGTTGATATTGCAGCTCAACAAACCTAAACATTTGTATCACCACTATCGTGAATCTAGACTAGCAAAGAACCAGTGGAGTACTGCCATAGTCTGTTTTAGCTTTTTGAGTATACAAATTTAATACAACTTAATTCCTAGTACAAGTTTTCACACAATTATCATCATTATTTTAATTTATAGTATTTTGGCAATTCAGGGAAGTTCTTGAAATTAATAGAAGTAGCAATCAGAATAAATGCAATATGCTCCTTTACACAATGTCTCTGGAAACCATTCCACTCAAACAGTTCAGAGAAACAGCTTAGAGAGCATTTGATTCTGCTTAAGGTGGAGACAGAGCTGGACATTCTCTGTTCTACGCTGACTGCTCTGAAGGTTTCATTTAGTCATTGCTGTAGTTAGCATACTAGTATGTATGCTTCACATTTTCTTTAGGATGTGAGGAAGATTGATGTCATGATTCTTCAGTTTTCTAGGCAGCAGAATAAAATGCAGAGTCTGGTACTGCACTAGGCAAACATCCTCCCGCAGATGTGAGCAGAAGGCCAGCAGTACATCTGCATTGTACAGGCACTGGAGCATCCTTCACTTAACATTATTAACCACTGAACACATCTGAATCACGATTTTAACAGCCTGAACAGTGTTCAATTTTTGGACTAAGCATTATCTCTGACTTCTGCAAATGTTAAGAATGTGTATGCCCTCAGATTTATGCTAGATGTTCCTTTTAAGTATCGCTCTTCCTCATTTTTATTGTTCTATTAGATGGATGAATCGTTTGGGTCTTGCAGCAATTGGTTACACACCTGATGACAAGGATATTCATCCAGATGAAGGTAATGCTTCAGAGAATTTAATTAGAAGAGAGCAGAGAGTACATATCTGTTCATTCTTTGAACAAAGCTGGATATATCACACCTGACTTCTTTATTAACATACATGCCATATCTTTTAAAATACCAATTTTCATAAGAATCCATATCCTTGAAGATCTATATTTATTGGTGCCACCACCAAAGAAAGTAAAATCCTGAGTAATAATTTTAAGAACTATTTCAAACAAGTGGTAAAGAGAATGCAAGGTTCAGGGTGAGATATATCTCCCAGCTCACAGCCATCAGGTATGCTCATCATCCTAGAGCAAGTGAAGACATCCCAAACACAGGTCAATATGTGCTTCAGAACCATTTTAGCATCTCCTGAGCTCAGGTGCCAGCCTTGCCACCCATGGTGGAATCCGTTATGCTAACATAATTCAATTAAGCGTTGAGGCTCAGCTCTACTTTGGCATCAAGAATGAAGTTTCTTTTTGAAAGTCTGTGACCAGAAGCTGGTTTTTATGCATAGTGGGAGTTAAGTGCCTGATTTGCTTTCTGTAACACTGTTCTACAGCATTTGAAGGTTCTTCTACACATCTGTGTATCTTAGGAGCCAGACGTTTTCACAAGTCTGCTCCTTAGTGACTGCCAAACCACCTGGATGACTGTGAAATGTTTACCTTTGCATGCTAATGATAATTTTAAAATGTGGGACCTGTGGAAAAGCACACGAGTGAAACCTGGACTGCTTTGTTAGCAGATTACTGGAGTGAAAGCGACCAGGATGACGTTGACGGCTCTCTGACCCTGAAGCAGGAAGGCTCTTCAACACTCTGTGACTCCTACCATCGAACACCCTCAGTGAGTTAGAAATACTGCATTTGACAGTAGGTCACTAAAAAAAATCTGTCTGCTGTGATTTGCTTTTTCCTTGTTTTGGAATATTTAATTACCATAAAGGCAGAACAAAGACGGATCTCATTGTAAGAATGAAATTACTGCTGTTTCTCGTGAGCTAAGAACTGAATGTTTACAGAACAAGTCAATTACAAAGGAAGGAGAGGAAAATGTCTCCTCATGCAAATATGTCACCAGACTGTAAATATGACATTTTTTGTAGGATTTGGGAGATTACACCTAATAATATGAACAGAATAGTCAAATGTTGACTTTACTGCAGAATATGAAAAGAATGTGGTGATGGGGATAGTTTGTATTAACTGAAACTGTTCTCCAATATTGGATACTGGATGCTTGAGATTAAGATCGAATCACATTCATGCAGTGATGCTGTTTTAGTACAAACTTTTTTTTTAAGAACGTATTTTTAGAGGCAAGGGGCTTTTACAATGTGAAACATTGTGCACAATACCATAGTAGTGAGAGTATTTTCTGTTAGTGTCATAAGATGTTAAGTAGCTGATGAAAATACTTCTAATATATTGTGTACAGACAGATTTTGAATAACTAAGGGGGAAAAAAAACCCACTTTGTATATGAAGAGGCTCTAGTAGCAAATAAGAACATTTCTATTATACGGAACATAGACAGGCTGTGATAATTATGTTTCGAAGTGCAGATAGGACTGTTCTCTATTTTTCTTTCAGATTTTTCTTCAGCGTGAATGACACGATCCTCACACAGCCAGAACCAAAGAAAGAGTGACTGAGACAACAGCATCACATGGGTGAAGTTCAGACTGATTTTCACCCATGTGATGCTGTTTTATCAACTGGGATACAGGTTAAGCCCCTCCCTTTCTGTTTTTCCACTTTTTTGCCTTTCTCTTTGTTTTTGAATTAAATTTATACACAGACCCAGCAGAATTAAGAAAAATAATTTGAGAAGTTCAGCAGTCCCCCAAAATTCAACAATCTTCCTGGGTGCTGAAGTTGTTGGTTTTTTTCTGTTTGGCTGGATACTTATCCCCTAAAAACCAAAAGAAAACCCAATTATGGTTTCTTTTGTGGGCTTTTATGTCTTCACAGCACACTGCTGGACTGAGTGTAAACTGGACAGGTCTTCAGGAAACCTGTACCAGTATTTTATTGGTCTTTCCAGCAGGAGTTGCTCCTGGGCAGAGAATGTGCAAAACAAGAATAGGGAGTGGTTAAAGCACAGCACTTGCATAAAAGATCTCACTGCTAGTTATGCTCTGTTTACAGAGGTTCATATTATGACACATCAAAACACAAACATCAGTCCATTTTATTAGTATATGTCATACAATGTTCTACGCTATAGTCATTTTCTTGGATCTGTTCAAAACGTTGTCTTATAGTCAGATGCTTTTGTATCTTTACAGGTGAATTCTTCAAGTCCATTCCCTGAAGCCAAACATGGTCGACACTTTTCAAGTGAATCAACATATTCTCATTCTTCTGCTGAGGATTCTCGACAAGATGTAGCAGGAAGCACACACTCATCAGGATGCAGGCCTCCCTACCGAGAAAGACGCTCATGGCAGGATCTGATAGAGACTCCATTGACCAGTTCAGGGCTCCATTTTCTTCAAACTGTTCCTCCAGATGCAGAGTACATGAGTGGTCGGCCTGGAATGTCACCAGACAAACGAAGACAAGCAACGCTACCAGTACAAAGGCGTCATAATTATGAGCAGGATGGGCCTTTCCCTTTGGTGGAATGTCAAAGGGGAAATAGCTCTCACAGCAGGCCACAGAAGCAACGTAGTCAAAGCCTTCCCCGAAACAGAGATGTCAGGGGTAAGGGATGTGTAAAGTCCATAGAAGGAACAGATGACAAGACAGAAGAGAAAGTGCCTGTTAGAAGGCATCATAGTTTCTGTACAGAAGGTAAGCTTTTGGAGATGTTCTGATCCTCTTTACTGCCATTGAAAGCCAGAGCAGTATCACCATTATTCTCAGCGAGGCTTTTGTGGCTGAAGTATTGTAGGTTGGCAAATTCATCAGTCACTACACAGGAGTTTGTGCTTGAAATGCTGGGATGTAGTGCTAAGAATATAGCTTTGGGGCTGATCAACATGTTCTTGTTTTATCAAAACAAAAATTAGAAGACTGTGTCATAGAGTTACTTTATACATGAATTTGCAGTATTCCTCGCTACGTTTTAGAGGCCTCATCTGAATGATTAGATTCGTTGTTAGATTTCTTTATTTTCTTTCAGAAAACGTAAAAGAAATTGGAGAAAATACAGATGGTCTGCAAGAGCTATACAAATCTCTGGAACAAGCTAGTTTGTCGGCTTTCGGAGAGCAGCGTCCCTCCACCAAGCAGGAGTTCCGCAAGTCTTTTGTAAAGCGATGCAATGATCCAGTTATCAATGAAAAGCTTCACCACATCAGAGTTCTCAAGAGCACTTTAAAAGTAAGGCTTTATCATTAATTTTGTATATAAGCAATATGAACTAGTAAAAATATAACCTCTTAATGTTTTCCACGGATGAGGCTGTCTTTGTAGCTTTAGCATTAAGTTCCAAAGAAACTAAAAATACTTCAAAGCAAACGTGTTCCAGCTTAAGGAAAAAACCCAATATTTGGCACTCTTTAAAGGCACATTGTAGAAAGTGCCAAGGGACTGAGTTGTCAAACAGTTTAAGTTGTAGTAGCTCCTGAATGTAGGTAAAAGATTCAAGTGTCCATAGTAGTTTCCATAGCAGTTGCATTAAAATGAAAGAAGAAATAAAGTGGCATAAATTTTATTTTGATGTGTATTGTGTCTGTCTGGAATTTGATAGGCGAAGGAAGGGGACCTCACAGTTATCAACAGCCTTCTGGATGATCCCAGCTTAACATCAAAGAAGTTTAAAGATTGGAAACTAAAGAACTATGAGTTTTTCCTGGACATTTGTGAGTACAGTGCTGCTGTGAAATCTCAAAATGGAGCCTCTGAACTCACAACCTCAGCACCAATGCTGACACATACACACTCGTTCATTGAAACTCACGTGTGACTGGACTCATATCCTGAATAATTGCTGGGTGCCATGACAAATTGATTAAGACAAACACTGTAATATTTATTGATTATGTACTCAGCAGTACTGTAAATAAATTGGGTAAAAGAATAGTGCCACAGGATGCCTACTACATTGCATGATAAGACAATAATATTCTTTATGAATTTTTTTGTTTGCTGTTACCAACCAATGTCCGTATCAAGCTCTGCATTAGAAAGAAGCAGTGCAGAAGTGTAACTGAAAATAAATACCAGTATAAAGTACTGTACTAAAAATAAGCTTATAGTATGAGGTCCTACAATCATTTTATATATTTAGATATATATAAAGACGTATCTATGTATATAAAATGTAACATGGTAGTTGACATTTACTTTTAAAATGCCCCACAGTTCACATTTTCGCGCATCATTTTCTTGAGAAGAATATAAAATGAAAACATAAATACATTGGCCACTCTTAGAGATGAACGTTTATTTTTGCAACATTTCCAGGTAGTGACCATCTTTGCAAATAAAAGGACAGAGTTATCAAAGTGTAAACTCGATCCCTATAGTGTGCCTTAAAATGTACACTGTACATCTAGCAAATAGATCCCAATCTGGCCCTATGGGCATACTGTACATGCCATTTAGATACTGTGTTTGTAACATACTGTGCCTGCCTTTAAAATGAATGAATATAAGCAAGCAGGTATGGCACAGAGGTTCAGATATGAGTAGAACAATGTTGGTTGTTCACTAATGCTGCAACTTAAACTGATTTTAATATAATTTGAAGTATATCATGGTGAAAGAAAAACATCTGCGCTGAATATGGTACATACTGCAGGTTTTCATATTTTCTTCACTGTGAATTTAAGTGACACATGACTGTGAGTCACAAAATTCAAAAAAGCTCTGATGCTTCAAGGATGAGAATTAAGTGGAAAAAATCCTGAACTAATCAATTAAATTCTGTAATAGACTGACATTTACAGCTGAGTGAATTATTCAGAATTATATAATGTCTGGCAATAATTTTTAACTGTTGGTAGTACATTAGCAAGTAGGTGAAGTTATTCAATACATCATTTGAAAACCAATCTGTATTGATTGGCTTGGGAAGACACACAAGTTACATAGTGTATTTCACTTCCTTGCCTGGATGAGAATGATTTCTAAGAATCAGATTTTGGAGAAAATATTTGTATTCTTGGGGGACCAAAAAAAAAAAAAAAAAAAAAAGATTGCTCTGAATGCTACTGAACATAAATTTCAAACACCTGTTCACAATTTCCGTTGACTATGCTTGCTATAGAATATTTCTACAAAGTAGAACAAAGGGGATGTGAATACAGTTGATGTCATTTCACTTAAACACAGATATTCACTGATATTTTTTTCACAAGATAAACCTAGTCATCTCTCATACATCAAGAACTGTAAAACTCATACAGTTCAATATAATATAGGAAAAAATGTTATCTCAATGAGGTCCTAGTATCCAGGAAGAGATGTAATTATTCACAAAGGCAGAACGAGGTGAAGGTATCCCGTTTGTTTAGTCCAGTCTCCACAAAGCAGCTGTGGTGAGCTGGCTGCCAGATGCCCACCAAGATGCTGTCACTCCTCCTCCTCAACAAGACAGGGGGAGAAAATATGATGGAAAAGCTTGCGGGTTGAAAGAAAAACAGGGAGATCACCTACCAATGACCACCATGGGCAAACCAGACATGACTTGAGGGAAATTAATTTAATTTCTTGCCAATTAAAAATACAGTTGCATAGTGAGAAACAAAGAGAAAACTAAAACCACCTTTCCCCCACCTCCCCCCTTCTTCCCAGGCTCAATTTAATTCTCTCATTCCCAGTTTTTCTACCTCCTTCCCTCCCTCAGTGGCACAGGAAGATGGGGACTGGGGGTTGCAGTCGGATCATAACACCTCATCTCTGCTACTCCTTCCACACACTGTTCCCTTGCTCCAGCATGGAGTCTCTCCCATGGGCTGTAGTTCTTCAAGAACTGCTCCAGCATGGATCTTTTCCATGGGGTACAGTCCTTCAGGAACAGACTACTTCAGCGTGGGTCCCCTGTGCACTGCAGCTTCTGCTGGAAAACCTTCTGTGTGGGCTGCAGGTTCTGCCAGGAGCCTGTGCCAGTATGGATATCTGCTCAGGCAGGGTCCTCCATGGGCTGCAGTATTGATATCTGCTCAGGCGTGGGACTCCATGGGCTGCAGGAGGACAACCTGCTTCACTGTGGTCTTCTCCACAGGCTGCAGGGGAATCTCTGCTACAGTGCCTGGAGCACCTTCTACCCCTCCTTCTTCACTGACCTTGGTGTCTGCAAAGTCATTTCTCTTACATTTTTCTCCCTCCTCTCTCTCACAGCTGCTGTGCAGCATTTTTGCCCTTTCTTAAAGAAGTTGTCACAGAGGTGCCACCAACCTCCCTGATGGGCTCAGCTTTGGCCAGCAGCGGGTCTGCTTTGAAGCCAACTGGAACTGGCCATGTCCAACACAGGAGCAGCCCCTCATCTTTTCTCAGAGAGGCCACTGCTCCAGCCCCCTTGTTACCAAATCCTTGCCGTGTAAACCCAATATAGCAGCTGAAGAAATACGGTTCAGATTTGGTTTTCACTCTCATTTGCACTGGCATTTATCTGCACAGTAGATGCAGTGATTAAACAAATAATACCCTATAACAATATAAAATGTTATTACTGTTATTACTGACAGCTGTTTTGAGTTCTTTGCATCACACAAGCAATTGAGTCACAGCATCATTGCAACAAATGCATGACAACGTTTGGATAGAACATCCAACATGAAGGCATGTTTGGTCTGCTTCAACAAAGTCATCAACTCTATGCTTAAGAATCACTGAGGACAATGGCTCCTTAAATGCACGCATCGGAGCTTAATCATATTTCCATTGAGGTAAATAGCTAAATTCCAGTGACTTCAGAGAGCAGGATCATGTTGAATGCCTTTTGCTTGAATATTAAACATGCACTTCACTCTTTGTCTAAGCACCTGAGATAATAAAAAAGATACAGGAAATAGAGAGCAACAATTTGACACCACAGGTTTCACCAATATCAGAGTTGCAGTATTCATGCAAAACAGAGAACTAAATCAAAATTTACTATGTGAGCATTGTAGTTACTGGACAACTAAATAGCAGAAGCATTGATAGACAGAATGTGCCTAGCCTTTTTTCATATGTCATATCTAAAAGTTATATATTTCACTATTTTTTAATACCATCCTTCATACAATGTAGGACAAATATTATGCAGTGAAGCAAGAAATGGGGTAAATTATAGAAGCCATTTAGAAACCAGTTCATACTGTACATGCAAGCAGTGATAGATGGTCACAGGGTTAGTTAAATGGATTGAACTTTCTATATTCATAAAGAAATCTAAACATGCCTTTTGTTTCAAACCTAAAAGAAGGTTAATGCTTTCATTAAAAAAAGTATATGATTTTAATATATTTCAAAAAAAGATTTCAAATGCCACAGTATTGTAACTCAAGACAGAAATGACAATTGTCCACTGAACATATTCAATGAAGTCCCTAGTAAACAATGAAACAAGCTATTTCTCTTCTAAAAGGCTACTTATAGATACAGCTGAGAATTACAAATGTCATTAGGAAGATATATTTCTCAAAAATAACACAAATAGTAAGAAAAATAGACAATCTCAATTTTTATTTCTGAAAGTTAAAAGAAGTATTTCTGAAATTCTTTGCTGTTGAGTTCATCAAAGGAAATAAAGAGCACCACTACTATACGCTTATTAACCTACTAGATATCCTGCCTGAATGTTTAGATAAAACTTGATTCATAACATACACAACTATACAAAGAGATTGTTTGGATGTGTTTTATTAATCTGGATCTTATTAGCGTCTTCATTCAGAATTCCTGCAGGTAAAACATCACTCAGCCAGCAGACTTTCTCTATGACTCCACAAGCTTAGTCTGTTACTGGCTATTTTTTATTAGAGCTGATTTAATGCTCCCCCTAAGCTACTGATTCCCTTCCTTTTCTAATACTATTCTGTGTTCAGTGAAATCTTGGATCTTTGAAAGCTATCTTAGTAGCTATTTCAGCAGCATCTGGAGAAAATGGAGACCTTTTTCTTAGTTTCATTCATTTAAGTGAAAACTTCCTTGAGCTTACTCTAATTAATATGAACAAGAATCAAAGGAGGAGGAGGAGGCGGCTCTCATCAGTCCATATGTGCACATTATTTAATATAAATAATGCAGAAATTCTGGGCCCACGCTCTGTGACAGCACAGGTAGGATTGATTACATTTGCCCTCACAGTAATCAGCCTGTGTTGGATTGTACAGGGCATCTTTACCCTCCAAAACACAGGAGGTTGCTTCACTTTATTGGCAAAAGCCACCCTGCTGTTTTTTATTAGTTTCTGATACAGTTCTACTTTCTCAAACACATCATGAGCACTTCTTAAAATGCTTTAGCATCATAAAGAAAGATGGATCAAAGATTTCACTTTGAATGTTAATAGGACTTCTGGTAGAAAAATTAAGAATCTAGTAGAAATTGTTTAACTTAACACAAATCTGAGGAGAACAAAGAAAATTCTTGTATCTCTTATCTTTGTCTAAAGTAATACAAACTAGACCTAAGTCCATCGCATACCTTATTCCCCACATTCTTTCAGCAAGTAGTCTTACTTGTCTTCCAAAGTAATAAAAGCTGCCTTCTCCAAAACAAAAACCTGGTGGTACTTATGACCGAGGGGCTACATCCAGGGGCTGTTGGCCCTTGAGGTGGGACAGCTCTGCCAGGCAGGGCTATTTCGTGGTATTTCATCAACAGTTTGGACAAACTCTTCATGACAAAGTGCTTCAAAGGTGGGTTGTTAAAACCGATCCTTGACTACGGCAAGATGCAGCACAACTGATAAAACTTCAGCCCAATCTGTAATGCCTGTCAGCCACCCCCAAAACTGTAGGATGCCCTCTGTACAGTTCTTTTTGCAGCATAAACGCTAAATCTGTTAGCATTAGCAAATCTTGTATCTCCACAGAGATCCCGCCTATGGTCTCTGGAGCCAGTCCTGGAGAGACTCCTTAAGAGAGAGCACAGGTCTGTTTGTATTACGGGGCCTCAGCCCTGAAAATACTCTTTATAGTACAGCCAAGTTCCTGCAGTGTAAGCTGAGAGAGAAATAAGTGGTAACTTGGGCTCATAAAGGATTTTTTTCTTTCTCCTTAGTTTTCACAATAGGGAAATTGTGCATTTCTAGGGAGGACAGAAGGGTGCAGGTTGTAGCAATGCCTTTTTGCTCGTAGTGTAGATTTTCCACATACCACATGCCTTAGACCACTGAGCTTAAAATCTCGTTAGAGACAAGACATCATCTTCCCTGTTGCCAAATGATGTTTATGTACCACTAGCACAAAAAATGGGTAGTAACAGGAAAGACTGAAGAAGCAATATTAGCTAATTAATTTATATTAAGTAATAAAAAAGTTCTTTTTCTTCTAGAATATTTCCCTCATTAAAGCTAAGGTTCAGGGTAGCTTTTTCAGGCAAGCCACGGTGGGAATAGGTTCCCCGTCTCCTCTTATACCTGAGTGGGCATTAACTGCACG